GCAATATGTGCACATTCAGACTTTTGGGTGACTTTTGAGTGACACCACTTTTTTCAACTTTTTCAAAGAGAAGCTGCTTCTTTTGTTTCTTGTGATTTCGGAGATTGTGTTGCTGCTTGTTTAAAGTCTTTATATGTGATTTTTCACACTTAAATATAATATAAATCAAGTATATCTTCTGAAAATAACTCTGTGAGTCATGACTGTCTACAATGGGTGTAACACCCGAGTCCCACTGTCTGTGATGTTTTCAGAGTTTTCAGAGTCCTATCTTCACTTTGTTTACATCGCCAGGACAGCCGGCTGACTCCTCCCCTCGTGTATAAAAGTTGTTTAATTGAGGGACTAGAGAAAAGAAGAATAACATACTGTACTCACTGCTTAACTGTGTTTCTAGATCACGCTCATTTCAGGTAAATTTACATGCAGTGTGAAGATACCAGCATAATAAAGATCGCTAGCATTAGCATGCTAACACAACAATGCAGCGCAAGTTGTTTTGGTTTCATGCTGGTAGCAGACACGACTCTTTCCCTGGTCCTGTGTTGTTTTCACCCAATCGGACACCTCTCTCTTCTCACTTCTCTGTCAATAAAGTCCAGCAGGAGTTGCACAAGATTATTGCAGATTGGTGCAAATTCATGATTCACATGCAATACTCACATAATAATAGTGAGTATTTTGTGAGTATGAACCAAGCTGCAATCTCCGGTGTGTTGAGTATGTGCAGAGAAACCTGAGATGTAGATAAACGATTCATCAGCATACATGCATTAGCTATCTTGGGTGTTTGGGGTGGATGTGAGGGCTGACACTGCCCCCCTCTATACCCCTGATGTGTCCAACACGCCCCTGCCTTTTGACAACAGCAGGGAGTCAATAACAGAAAGTAGTTGGTAGAAGTGGGGCAGATTACATGATCACAAAATAACTCCTGGAACACTCTGGACACCGCAGATGGATGGATTTAAAGAGTATGTGAGACCGGAGTTTTTCCCCTCTAAGTGCACAGTTATCACAGTGTCAAAGCTCTGAGAGAGGAAAAAAAGAAAACGGCATGATAGCCTCATCCTTAACTTCATTTCATTGTGGCTTCTGTGCATGTACATTATTCTCACGCACCCCTGTTGCCCCCTGCACAGCACAACAGATAAGAGATCTATAACTACAATCGGCAGTCTAGGGGGGGAAACCAAGGAGGAGGAGGGGCGGGGGCGGGGGGGGGCGGGGAAAGGGCTTTGTAAGGCCACGGGTCCCCGGCCTGCACCCCTGCGCTCCAGCATTGGGTAAAGAAACAGGCATTCGCGCTGACCTCAGAGCTGTTGTTTAATCACCAGGGCATTTTAATGGCTTGTCAGAGTAATGAAATATGGTCGGAGGCTACCTGGTGCAAACATTACGATAAATCCCCTCTCACGCGAGCCTACGCGCAGGCTTAATGGTTATAAATCATCACTTTGGGGAGAGAAAAAAAATGACAGCTATTAAAATAATGAATGGGATGATTAATTTTTCACATTAAAGATTAAAAGCTATGAGAGGTATCATCAGATATTTGAGCCGCCGTAAACGCTTGAAAGTGAGAGCTTATTTTCCCGCACTTTACGACGCCCTCCGTTTCTTCACTGTCATGCAAGTTTCTCCCCCCCCCCCTTTTTCTTTTTTTTTTTTTAGTATTTTTTACCCCCTTTCTTTTCAGTGTGTGTGCGCACTCGCCCCGACACACACACACACACAGGCAGGCATCCCTTACACCTAATTTGTGCTCTTGTAAAAAAAAGTGCTCTGAGGGGGGAGAAAAAAGCCTTGAAGAACACTCATTGCTTGAGGCAGTACAGGACCCTCTCAGCCTCTCTGCGGGGGCTCCTCAAGGCTCTCACCGACATTATTTCACACCTCTAAAGCTGTCATACCTATAGCCTCAAACAAGAAGAAGAATAAGCCGGGCCAGAGGTAGTTTTTTTCTCTCTCTCAGCTTTTCCCCATGCTACATCCGCTCTGACGCTGGCGAGAGCTGATTAGTCAACTTCCTCGTTGTCGGTATATTACAAGACGCGCTGACTGAGCCCCCCCCCCCACATGCATATAGACAAAACCATGACAAGCTTCCTCTCTCTCCGTCAGATGGCTCCCAGGAGAAGGTGTGTTATTGCACGTACGTTTCCTAATTCCTCGCCGCGTTGTTCCCGACATATATCACCCAAATTGCACGGCGAAAGATTAGAGAGGAGAAGCATAATTAGAACATTAATAACCATACATGTTAGGGAACATAAGTAATTGAGTTTTTTTTTTTTTTTTTTTTAATGATGAATGGGAATGTAAACAAAAGGCAGGAGAGAGCGAGCGCTTCAATTAGATCTTTTTTTCCGAGCAGCGTTGTGTCTCAGCAGAGACGGTTTGTTTTTTTTTCCGACGTGGGGCTTCTTCTTCCCGCCGTCGGCCCAATTATTTTCTGTGTTCCCCGGCAATGATGGCGTCGCTTGTCCATCTGCAGGCCTTCAAAGGGATATTCAAATCGACGGCTCCATTTGTTGGCATGAGAATAAATTGTTGGCTTGGAGTTTTTTTTTTTTTTGTATCTGCTCAGAGCAACGCCAGGTATTTGTGCAGCTAAAGTTATTTACAAAGTGGTGGGACATTTAAACGACTCCTCTGGCGTTTCCGCGTCCCTCTTTTACCCCCCCTCCCCCCTCCCCCCCCCGCTTTGAGTTCTGCCTCTTTTTGTTTCTTGTTTAAAACGTGTGTGTGTGTGTGTGTTTGTTTTTTTTCTGCTGTTTTCATTTCACATGCTGTCACCGGAGACGCCCACACCTCCTTCATGTCCTTCCAACTTCCTTTTTCCCCCCCTTTTTTTTTTCTCCTAATGATCCAGGGACACCAAATAAAGGGCCCACTGAAACAAAATGGCCACCTTAGCTGCCCACTTATATCTCAACCCCTTCCCTCTCGAATCAATTCTGACATTTCATTCTGCCCTTATAGAAGGTAATGGTGCATTCAGAGGTTGTTACCGATAATGTTGAAACGGCATCGCTTGGTTTCATTGGATACCGTAACCTCTTCAGCTCCTCTCCTTCTCTTCACTCCACCTTCTTCTTCTTCCTCTTCCTCTCAGACGCCTCAAACATCTCTTTTTTGCACAAAGTGAGAGCTTTCTTCTTCTTCTTTCATTTTCTGTTAACAACCAACCAACCAGTGTTTGTATTTTTCCTCCCACTCTCGCGTTCACACAACATGAAGTGAAAACACTCTTTTAAGTCAGGCAGTCAATATGCTGTTTCTAATACATTATTTACCGCCTATGGGCTGTACATCAGAGTGCGCTAAACAACTGTTTCGGTTTTTTGCACTCGTAATCATGTCGAGAGAAATCACAGAGCCAGATGTCTGGCCCCCTCGTTTTACAGCATTTATGTTTTCCTCCGAGTTGATGTAAAATTCATCCTTCCCTGTTTTATTTATCCCCCCCCCCCCCCCAGTTTTCACAGACTCAACAATTAGTCAATTCCCAATCAACAAGAGAAAAGAAATTGCTTTTAATTACTTTTGATAAATGACAAATTGTGTTGGCACGGCTCCCCTGCAAATGCTTAATCAGGTGCTGGGCGGGGTAGGGAGGCGGGTACCGGGGAGAAGGGATTTCTGCTGGGATGAAATCAATGCGCTTTCTCCGCGGTTCACCGGCTGGGCTTCTGGGCGGCAGCCAACCCGAAGGAAGGCCTGCACCAGATACAGCAGTCAGCAGAAAAAAGAGAGTGCAGCCGCTGTATGAGAGCTGCCACACACTGAGGCGTAAACATGGCTGCAAATCTATTGCACCGTATGTAGCAGAAGAACTCTGTGCAGGTTCTAATGATGAGATGACAGTGATGCACATGCACACTCAGACACAGTTATGCACTCGTTCACTCACTCCCTCTGTAACCACAATTATAAAGTCCCTGGCAGATCATCTGATTACATAAATGTAATAACACCTTTCAAATGAATTGTAACCATATGTTCTGTGCCCAAATATAATTACAAAAGTGCTCCAGCATCATTTCTTTTGTTCAAAGATTCACTTAGAGACAGACTTAACAGGTCCCCTTTCTTCAATTTTTTAGATTTACCGAGGATTAGAAGAAAGAGGTGTTCAAATCTGCAACCCCTAGATCCTCAGAAAAACTGAGACGCTGTGTGAGAAACATCAAAACCCACATATTTGATTTCAAACAGCACAAAGACAACATGTCAAGTTTTCAGACTCAGAAAAATGTCATTGTATTTGGAAAATGAAAAAGAAAAAGTTGGGCCTTGAATTTGGAGATTTCTTCAGATTCTCCAAAAAATGTTGATGCTATTTTTGTGATGTAGATGATGAAATCCCCAGATTCTTTGCATTTCTGGTTGAAAAAAAACATTATTCCTGGGCGCTGATTTGCCTTGCGGTTATGTTGTGCACCCAATTTACGTGGGATATATTCCTCTTTGTCGAGAACAGCCAACATATCTGTCATCAGCGATGTTGCCAGATGTGTTACCATCATGTATGTGTGGAAAACAAAGACTAGAACTTGCACTCATCGAGTGAATCTGGCAACAAAATGCATCCTTACGACATCATCCTTACGGAAAATACTACTGTAGTGTGTTTAGAAATAATTCTGACATGTAAAGGGTTAAGGGGGTTAACAGTCTTGGTTGCCACAGTCCTGGTTTAATAGGTCCCTCTGGGGCATGGATTCTACAAAACGTTATGCATCATGTCCGGGTGAATTTCTCAAACTTTGACAGAAACAGGCCCGTTTGTTTCCTCCTGTTTTCAAACTTTGAGCTAAGCTAGGCTAACCACAGCTTCACTTCAGCCATATACTGAGCCACTAGACGTATCATGGCGTTAATCCAACTTCTCTTCTTTCACTCTCAGAGAAGAATGCATACAATCAAAGCACCCCGCAAAATATGTCCCTAAGTTTGTATTTCTAACCGGAGCTTTACTTTGTCCCTCTCTGCAGAGTTCTTCAGGACCTGTGGCAGCAGCAGCGAGTCAAGTGACCCAGCTTCAGCCCGACCGGCTTTACCTGTACATGGAGACCCCCAGCTGGGCAGGTAAGCCCCTCAACAGAACCTCTTAAGCGACTCATGACTTCACCCTGCATGTCATATCCTGTCTGTCTGCAACTTACACCCAGTCGCACTCCAGGTTTGTTTCTTTGCACTGAGCCGAGGTGGAGAAGTTTACAGGTTCACTCTGAACAAATGAAAGTGTCTAATTTTTCATGCGATCCAAAAAGCTTACGATGTTTTCTATATTTTCTTTTGCCTTTCTTGCTTCTCAAAAACTCCCAATTTGAATTTACAACTCCTAGAATCTGGGTGTAGAGAGGAATGGATTACCGTCTGCGCCCGCATGGCCTCCTTCTTCTGAACTAAACCAACAGAAGAACAGTTTTTGAGTCCTCTCTCAGAACTTTAACGGGCAGCCAAAGTGACATCCATCGTGTAAATCTGAAAGAGGAAAACAGATGAAACCTAAAAAATGTTTTCTTCAATCATTTACTGTACAGTACATCTGTGCTGGAGTTCTTTATCTTTGTCATTTTCAAAAAGACCTGAACCTGAACATTTGAAGAACAGATGCGTCTGTGGTTTTTTTTTTTGAAAGCTTTTTTGTAGCTTCTGCAGCTGCTTCCTGTCGATGTTTGGTGATGTACATCCCTCTCCCGTGCACGCTTCGTTTGGAAAGCGAGGCTCGTTTTTTTCAGGATGGTTATTTAAGAGCTTGTGTTCAGCCCCGGCCTCACACCAGGAGCTCCAGGAGGTTTTTTTTAGGGGGAAAACGGCTTCACGCCCTTCTCGCTGTGGACGCGCCGTTACTGTAATATAGCCTGTATGTATGCACGCCTTACTCTCCCCTATCCGGCCATATTGTGCTAATGTGTGCTGGTTAAGTAGCGGAAGACTAGAGAAAGACTCTTATCCATATGCCGGAGAGCCCAGGAGCCGGCTGGATCTCTCCCCAGATGGAGTCCTCTGCCTCCCCTCCCCGTCCTCGGCGGAGCCATATAGCAGGTGGCGGCGAGGATCAATGGGCCTCCGCCATTACCTCCTCTCCACTTCACATCTCCAGCCTCATCTCCAAAGGGGGTGGGGGGGGGGGTCGGCCCGCGGGGGGGCACGCTGCGCATCTCGCTGCAGCACACCGGGAGAAATAGGGACGTTTTCCATTAGTCTAATTGCTCGGTTATAGTTCTATATTATTGCCGTGATCACCACTGCGGCGTTGGTAATGATGGACCTCCCGTGCCCCCCCACATATAGCCGGTGGGTGTTATGTCTCCCCCGTCGCCGCCCATTGAAAAACTCGGCTTGTGCGGTGGGTGTAGGAGGAGAGAACACAAAACTTAATGCAGAGAAGGAAAACAGGAGGATAAACACACAAAACCAAAAAAAACAGAAAGAAGAGAGAGGGAGCTCTTCAAATGTTTTGATGTAAGAGTTTAATCAAATAGCCGCAGCTATTTACATTCTCAACAGGTGCGGCGGCGGCGTCGGGCCTGATTTATGGAATAAACACTGCACTTCTAGTGCTTGTTCATTTGCCTCGGCGAGCAAAAAGAAACTGGCAATACGGGGCTAATTTGCGATAATTTGCTGCTGCTGCTGTGGCCACTGGTTAAGAATGTTTATATAATCATGATATAATAAGAAAAATGAAAATGAGTTTTCACGCAAGGTTCAGGCCCCGTCAAACACAGCTCACGGACCCCCGCTAAATGATAATTACGTTCCTCGAGCACGGCATTACATTTTACCCTCTTAACACGGACTTTTATTCACGCTAAATGGGAGGGAGTGTTATTTTCATTCGGCGGGGCGATACGACCTCGGTATTATTCTCCACATCTGAGCTCCCCTTATACAGTACAAGATCCCCCCCCCACCACCACCACCCCCCCCTCCCTCCCTCCCTCCACCACCTTCCCTTTCCTCCTCAATCAGCGATTACACGAGGAGTCTTCCATCAGTCAGCAGACGAGGTGAGGATTATAATGAATTAATTTGCCCTCAAAGACTCCTGCCTTTCTTCCTCTGTTTATAATATCCCATTAGCATAACGCGCTCGCTTATGTTTGGAGACGTTTGGCAAAGCTTCAGTGTAAGCTCAGCCCGTCTAATCGCCGCTGAATATTTCACAGCCGAACCTGTAGCTCTTCCCCCCCCCCTCTCCCCCACAGGTCATGCACATAAAAGCTGCTTCCTGTTTTTGGGGGGGATTTCTCCATCGTATACAGCACATTAGATCGCCTTGCATTCCTTTGGAAGGAGAGAAAATCCTTGGCTGTAAATCCTGCGTTTTAATTTTTTCTTTTTTTTTACACAGGTATTGATCTTTTTGCCTTTTGCTGCGGGGGCTTGTGTTCACATAAAAGGCCCACTGATGTAGCAGAGCTTATTAAACAAATAGGCCAGAGAACAAGGCCACAATCGCTTTGAATCATGAAGGAGGTTTGCCCCCCCCCCCCACCACCACGTCTTAAAGCGCCGATGTATCAAATATGAAACGCTCCGCTAACAAGGTGTGTAATCTATTTTAATCAGATCATATTTTATGAAACAAGGAGAGAGGGGTTGAATTTAAGTAAGAGAGAAAGATGGAGATTCTGGCGGCGCGATGTGGGAGGATGGGGGGGGATTGTATTTTGAAATTGAATGTGACGGCCGGGGGACCATGACTTGATTTTACATGCATGGCTTTATAATGAAGCCGCGCCAAATGGTCAGTTATGGTTAACTTTAGGGAGGGGAGGGGGGGCCTCGCTGTAATGGGAGGCTAATTCGGGGGCCCATAACGCCTTGACAGGCTGCAGAGCGGAGCTGGAATATGGATAAGGATGTGCGTCGAAGGCTCGGGGGCTGAAGTAAAAGGTCTGTATTTGTCTGCAAATTACCAGGTTGCCTGAGGATATAACAGGGTCAACAGCAGCAGCGGCGTCTTTTCCCTGAGTGTACACAGCTGCGTCGCAGACATAAATATGATACAGAAACACACTCAGTCAGACGATACACTCGCTAACTCGCTCAAAGTGACTCGCAGGAGCGACTTCATGTTGTCATCGCAATTCAGGCCATGATCCTTCTTATATATCTTTACACTGGCTGGGCTCGTAGCCGAGTGTTTTCAATCACCCTCTTTTTTTTTTTCTTTGCGCCATAAATTGTTTCAGATCCTGTGACACTACACTTGGTTATGAATATATGAATATATATATATATACACTCCCCAAGACCTTTGGAAGCTCCGCTAGTCACCCAAGGTAATGGATAGAGAGACATTATATACTGCTCAGGGAGGCACCACTTGGATTTTTTTTTAATAATCACAAGAAAACATTTGACATCAAGTCTCTGCCCAGAATACTAAAAAAAAAAAAAAAAAAACATAATTTAGTTTGAGTTTTATTTTGAAGTTAACAGTGTCGTACACTTCCTCCCCGTCCTGCTGCTGCTGCTGTAATAATCTCAGAGAGATATCATTGATTCTGCTGCGGGAGCAACACTTTCAGAACATATTTTTACAGGTCTCGGCGAGGAAATATTCAAAGGAGGCCCCAGCTTAACCGATTTTGAGGTCTGAAGAATAAAAAGTCGAAAAAGTTTTTTGAATTCCTCCAGGAGATCGCTTCACCCTGGAGCAACAAAATGGCCCAAAGTGGTCACAATGTCCTGTCATAGTTCTCGTAGTTAGCCTCAAATGGCTAATCTAAGTGTCTGAATTTAGGATCCCTGCAGCGATAGAGCTTTTTCTCTTGCGGTAAGATCCTGATTTTTTAACAACAGTGGTCACATCTCGGCCACCAGACTCCTTTAACAGAAACACTGATTTTATCATTCTGGACACACTCACTAGTGGCTGTACTTCCACAACCTCAATCAGTCCGTTTTTTTGTGTTGTATTTCGGTGTTTAATGTGAATATTTAGGATGCATTTTTGTAGAATCATCAAGACAAGCAACTCCTTGTTCTGCAGGATATTGTGGACTTAATTTTAAAAGTGAAGTTTACAGTGTCATGCAAACCAGTTTCTACCAAAATGACAGATAAAATATATCCATTGATTAGCAGAAATATATGATTCACTATAATGAGAATCCCACATCCTGTAAACAAGGCCAAAGAAATCCATCCTATCAGTTATTGTTCCTCTGTTTGTAATGTCTCTAATGTCATGTAGAGAGGACAAGTGTGATTTTTGATCCCCTTTCAGTGCTTTGCATCGTGTAAAACTCTCCAAATACCTTCATTCTTGTGGTCTTCAATGTTTCCAGGACCCCCCTGATAACCACTACAGGGATGATGAGGAAAGAAATAGAGATGGGGGGGGAGGAAGAGGAGGGGTGCCTGCGTCTTTAAAAGCTAGATGGAGTGAGGGAGTGGGGCGGACGGGTGGCTGGCAGGATTGTGCTGACGGCAGGGCTTTGGTTCAGAGCATGCCCATTAGAGGGAGCCATAAATCCTGGGCTCTCTGGGCCGGGCTGTGTCAGCAGTCCACTGAATGAATTGATTTTAAACGCCACTGAAAAAAAAAAAAGAGAAAGTGCAAGAGAGAGAGAAAGACAGAGAGAGAGAGGAGGGAGAGAGAGTGACTATTTAATTCACCCCTCCGCCAGAAGCCCACACCCACCAACCACCGCCCCCCCAACCCTCCCTGTTCCACCCCGCTTCTCAATTCAGGACTGAAAAAAAAAAAGGGGAGGAGAGAAAGTCTAGAAACACTGAAACTGTCACCAGCAACAAGCCCAGGGCTACGCGGCCCCCACGCGTTTGATTTAAACAGGAGGGGAGACACACAAACCAAATACATAATCTCAAATTCCATACAGCATTTTGTTCTCTCCCACCCCTCTAATTTTTCTCTCTCTCAGCCCTCTCCTTTTAAATCTCCACAAGAGAAATGAGACATATCGTAAAAAAAAAAAAAAAAGAGAGAATGAAAAAGAAGAAGAGGCACCGCTGCATTTGAATTTCAAATGTGTTGGATTTTGAAATTGATGTATGTGTTTATTCATTTACGAGCAGCATCCATGTGTGCATGCATTTATATAT